TGATTTTGCATCACTACCACAGTAAACTAACTGTAAAGTTACAAAACAGAATGAATCGTTAATTAGAACACATGCACAATTTGATCGTAGTGTTTCCTACATGAGTTAGTTATGCATGGACCAAAGACTGGCCCAGAGTTTAACATCTTCCCAAGCTTGCTAGTGAAGGGGAGCTGAAAGAATGGAGCACTATGGTGGAAGTAGAGCACCAGCTCTTCTTTACCTACACTGCTTTTGACCTAAGTTTCTACATTTCCAGTGTGTCTCTGAGAACGTGATTCATTCTCCAACAGAAAGGGCTATTTATGAGCTATATTTTAATTTAGGACCTTGCAAATCCCAGCACATAGTCCACCCTCGTAAAGCTACTAAAACTGCAAAGTATAAATTTAAACCAAATTTTAAGCTATTGCTATAACATTATCTGCTTCTAATGTAAATTAAATAAGCTCAAATTGGGGAAATACACTGATCTTTTTAAAAGGTTATTTCAAAGCACCTATTGACAATTATAAATACCAAACCAATACCATACTACAGAAACTTCAAGGCTTAACAGTTCTTTGGAGACTGTAGCTCTGATCCTAGAAAATTTCAAAATGAAAGCAAGGAGCTTATAACTTCCATGAATCCGTAATTGCAATGAAATGTTATCCTAATTGAAATTGATGTATTTTAATATTACAGTACACATCGTCATCCAAGCATGTATTATCTAATTCTCTGAGGAAGTATGCTATTGTTGGATTTACTGATTACTATTGGCTGGGCCACAACTATATAAATTAGAGTGGTAGAAGACTAATAAGTTATAAATGGGTCTGGATGATAATAGTGCTATAATTTCCACCTGATTGAAAAAATAACAATCAAGTTTAGAATTTTATTCTTCTGGAGGAGCCTCTAGCTTTGTATCTTACTTGCCGTATTTTTCTTGCATTGTTTAATTTAGTGACTGTGTGCAATCTTCTGACTCAGCTTTCCTATCTGGTGTGTTTCTGCACTGAGAAATTAAGTAACAAACTGATACCCATTTTGTATATATTTAATGCAAATCATAATTTTAACTCAATTCATACCTGAACACAGCTAGTGCAAAAACTTACCTGGAATTCAGATCATTCCAATGGATCAAACAGACCACACTGGATCACTGAGTCTAGCTGATCATTTCCTTCCTTCTCACATCCCATCTATTCTCCTACTACAGCAAATAATGATCAGAACCCTACAAACATTCTCTCAGCGTACAAGTTTTCCGGAAAAAGAGTATCATTGAAGCTAAGTTATTTCCCTCTCCTAAACTAGACTGTAAGAACAATAAGTGAATTTTGTATGAGAGGATGCAAAACATTTATATCTCATCCAATAGACACTGTTATAAGGTCTTAATAAGAAGGACTGCACCTGGTATATCAGGAATTATGATCAATCAGCCAAACCATACTCAGAGTCTCCTCAGCAGGTATTTAATGTCTGGGGAGACAAAGCTGAGATCCTGTGCTTTTTTAAAGGTAATCTCCAATAGCGACATTTTCATTTATAAAGCAATCCAGAGACTTTGACAATTAGTAGAGATAATTAAAATTCTATTAGTGATCTGTTCATAAGTTATAGCTTACACTTAATCATGTAAAATTTTGATTGGAAAAGTTCATAAATTTGACAGAACATGAAACGTGTTTTTACAGGAAGGCTTTTAAAATGCATATTTAAAAATAAAAAGTGTATTTTAGCATCAAGGTTAGAAAGGATCAATCTTTGTAAGCGCTAAAACAGATCTTTTGCCATTTTAAAGGATCTTCTTGTCTTGACTAATAAACACCCTGAAATGTAAATGCCACACTATGACAAGACATGCAAAAAATACCTATGCACATGTAATTTAAATGGTGTAAAGATGAGATACAAAATATTAAATAGGTGTGCAAATTTAGTATAAGGTGTATAATGACGAGGTACAAAATACTTAACTGTATCAATCTGTCAAAGCAATATAATAACAAAAGGTCTACTTCCCACAGCAACAGAATCAACAGTCTCCTATTTCATCAGAATTTCTTTTCCATTTCTTCAGTTATTCATTAATCATTAGGATAACTGGAATTTATAGACTTTGCTTCCACTGAGTTACTGTCCAAACTAAACTAAAGAACATAGGCCAATCCTTGTTTTTAAAAGGCTGCTATTCAAAAGATAGCAGGTGCATACAAGTTTGTCAGTATAGGTAATGCAATCACAGAGACAATCATAGATTTCCATATTGATTTATGTGATACACTAACTCACAGTTGGCATCTAGCAGAGCAACCATACTTCTGTTCTACTTCTCTATACATGGCTTTTTAGCAAATAGACCAAGAAATAACACACGAATATGTTCTATAATTTCTTGAGCTTTTATTGTTATAATATTATCCACATGTCCAAATACCAGGTTTACAAATAGACTTGCTCCTTTCACATGTGTAGATAGAATATTATTTGAAAGTCGTTTATGTGAAGGCATTTACAAACCTGTCTTGTGCCCCAGAAATTCCTGGCCTAAAATCTCTTGTTCTAATTCTTCCATTTCTTAACTGGCCTGTCTCTTTCATGTGTATGACTTCTACCAGGTTCAAAAGAACACAGATGACTCACTGAGGGACATAAAGAAGAATAGGAATCAAGACCAAGAACATTGAGGCACTTACTGGAATACCAAGTTAAACATACAAAGGAGAAGTAAAATTAATCTTATAAAAATACAGGAAACTGAGGAAATGTATTAGTAGGCACTAGCAGATTCCATTAAAGTAAACTTATTTAATTTGTTTTTTGTAATGTTTATCTTTGCTTTGTGCATGGAAATGAACTCAATGAAGGAGACAGAATGAAAGGAGACAGGATGAAAGATATTCAAAGGCAAAATTTTTTCACGCATATTAATGGCATTTTCTTTTCCACAGGATAACTGTCAGTGCTAGTAGTGGAGCATGTAAGTAGCCAGTCTTCCGCACCTATCACTTATGAACTAATGCTCATTACTCAGCTGTTAAGGCAGGACCACAATACAAAGACCTTTGCCATGTGATCTTGACCATTCATCTAAACAATACGCAATTACATTTTTCAAAATGAAGCAACCTGAATACCAAACATTTTAATAGAAATCCTAGTGATGATGTTAAAACATTTTTATAGTGAGCTAAATAATAAAACCTGTTATAAAAATATCAATTAAAAATATTATAAGGAAAGTAAAAATTCATTGAAAACTAAATGATGTTATAGTTTTTCTAATCATCCTATCATACTATTGTTTTTATATACGTGAATAATCTTTTTTTGTTTGTTTTATGTTTTTTCTTCTGGTATCAGGAATCAAACTCATGACCTTGTGCTTGCCAGGCAGGCGCTGTGCTGCTGATTTAAATGCCCAGCCCTATAAGTGAATAACCAACAACTTTAAAGAAATTAAAAAAGATCACTTCATATACCTCAATTCTGATAAAGATGAAAATGTCAGGACATGAAATTATATATAATTGTATTTATTTTATAAATACGATTATACATTTCACAGGAAAAATATTAAAGCATTTGATTACAGTACGCTCTCCAAAGCAAACATTGAAGTGTTAAATAAATGGTTCTAGCTCTCTAAAGTCTAGGCTACTGTGGTTTTCCTCATCATAGCCTGCCCTGCTTCCTCCAGGATATACTGTTATCTTGTTTTTCCTTCTTTTACTGGACCCAAGCTTGATCTCAGTTTCTCTCTCACTCTTCTTACTTTTTCAAATAAGCTCTTCCAAAAAAAAAATATATATAAAATATAAAGACTTGAAAGACTTCTGGCCCTAGTGATTTGAAGTAAGGGACCACTGAATGATATACGATTAGATGTATATTTTTACATAACCAAGATATTATTACACTTTGTTCTTTTCACATTTTCATTCTCCTGTGATATCAACAGTTATCTGAGTTATTTGTGGGAAGTTCTTACAGGCAAGTTAAAATGTTAATCTTATAAAATATTTACCTCTCCCAGAATGTATTTAAATCTAGATATTTAAAATATTTATTTCATTATTATACTAGAGATATTTTGAAATTTGGAAAATATTTAAACCCTAGATCTGTAATTATGGATCAAGAATAAAGTTGAAAAAGCTAAAAGCGATACCACCATTCTTCAGATTAAAATCTGATTTTCCATGAAGTACTTATTTATCAGTTTTTTAAAAGAGGTTACTCAGGATTTCAAAAGGGCAGTATTTCCCATGATGATGGCATGAAAGAGTCTCACAGTTCATCCATCAAATAAAGTTCTAAAACTTGACCACTTTTATTAGAAACAGAATTTGAAGGCAAAGGAAAATGACCAAAACAAGCAGAAATTTTTCAAGAAGCTTATAACTCCATGGCATCTATTACATTGAGAATTGTGGATCAAAATCTTTTTAACCAAGGAACACTCTTCAGTTCAGTGCAGCTGCACAAAACTGTACTCACCACTTTGAAGGGGTAGAAGTAAAAGCTCATGATAACAAAGCAGGTTACAGAATACTTAAGGAAAATATCATATAGGTAAGAAAATCGCAGAAAATCAGAGATTTTAGAAAGAAAGAAACAATGAAAGAAAGAACAACCCTCCCTCTAACCCTTCCTGAATGCCTCCATTCTACTCCACCTACCTGGCTCAATAGAAAGCCACTTGTTCAAATAGGAAATGCAGAGATATAGCAATAAGAAGCAGACGGCAAGGAAGGACGCCAACCCCTTTAAAGAGGGATGGATTCCTGGTACGATTTGAACATTTCTTGTGTTTTAGGCCACGTGAGTTTTCCCGCTCAGCACAGTTTAAACAGCGATGATATGAAGACTTTCTAGATTCAGACAAAAGAACCAAACTCCAGCTGAGAAAGTAGGCGGGCCCTGGAGGAGATAATCAGCAGCAAGGTGACGATGAAGAGGTAAAGTCCAGAAGTATAAACCCCATCCTGTCTCGGACTCACCTCTGAAGCGGGCAGGCACGATAGCAAGCAAGGCCCCAGGAGTGGGACTAGGAAACTGAAAACACTGAGCAGTGACACCAGCTGTTCCACATCTGGGGGCAAGGGAGGGGGTAAAAGATTGTGCAACTGGAATCAAAATGAGATAGCCTGGGGCCAAAGGTGGAGCTCAGGGGTAGAGCATTTGCCAAGCACAGAAAAAGCCTTGGGTCCATTCACAGCACTACCAAAAGACCAACAAAGAATTGCAATGTGTTTTTCTGGTGCCTAGTTTCCAGTGAGCAATTAATAAATTACCAGAAATTCAAACAGACATGAAGACGTGAACCATATTTAGAAAAAGAATGACCATCAATTAAAATAGACTAACACTACGCTTAAATGTTGAATATAGCAAAGATTCAAGACAGATTTTATAAATGTGTTTTTTCAAAATTGAGAGGAAGCATGATATTGATGAATAAACAATAAGGAATCTAACAGAAAAACTGAAACTATAAAAATAAAATAGAAATGTTAGAACTGGGGCTGGGGATTTAGCTCAGTGGCACAGTGCCCGCCTGGCAAGCACAAGGTTGTGAGTTCGATTCCCGGTACCAGAAGGAAAAAAAAAAAAAGAAATGTTAGTACTGAAAGTACCCTATCTGATCTGAAAATTTTACTAGATGGAAGCATAAACAGCAAACGTAGGACGGTGGAAGAATCAGTGAGCATACAAGAAAATCAATAAAAATTATGCAATTTAACGAAGTGACAGAAAGCTTCAAGAAGAGTAAATCAAGCCTGAGAACAGTGGGAAGATGCTGTGCATAATGTATGTGATTTTTGACTCCTACAAGGAAGAAGTGGAGAGAGAGTGCCAAAAATAAATTTTAAAGACAAAATTGTTACAGATTTTACAAGTTCATTGAAGACATCCTATCATAACCTGTTCCATGAAGGTTCTTCACCCCTGGATAAGATATATTCACACACACAGAAATTCACACAAATAAGCCCAGCCACACTATGGTCAAGGAAATAGAAGTAATGCGTAAAAAATATTCATAGCAGTGAAAAAATTCATTATAGGAAATTAATCCAAAACAGTTTCAGCCAGAAGAAACTGAAGTATTCAAAGTGCTGAAAGAAACCAAAAATTCAATGAAACTCTTGCTATCCACTAGAAATTAAGATGAAATGAATGCATTTTGCATGAATAGAAACCGACAAAATATTTGTCTAGCACATCTGTGCCTCAGAAAATAGTGCTGAAAGAAGTTTTGCAGGATGAAGATAAATTACTTCAGATGGTAACTCTGATATATGAGAAAAAATAAGATAGCTTAAAAATGTGGGGGAAAATACTAAATGTGTGTTTATGGGTGTGTATGACTTTTTCTCAAATATTAATGCAGAAGTTTCAATAATGTATTCTGAGGTTTATCGCATATGTATACTTTATCTATATATAATGAAAATGCTGTCAACACACAGTGATATAACTGATCAATACCCAATGTATAAATGTGCAAAGCATTGCATTGTACCTATAAAGATGCACAATTACTACTTATCAAGAAAAATAAAGCTAATGAAAAATGAAAACAACATTAAAAGACAATTTCACATAAAGGAAGTCAAAAAAGGAGAAACAGAAAATAAGTAAAATAAATTTGGACTCCAATCATTTACTAATAATATAAGTAAATGCAAAAGGACTTAAATAGTTCCATCAGAAGATAAAGATTCTCAAAATGTATAAAACAGACAATCTACCTTTAAAGGAGGCATTTTAAATACAAACACAGATAGTTGAAAGGATGAAAAGTGCAAAGAGGAATCTGAGGGGAAAAGCAGTGTATATTAATATTAGACAAACTGAAAGTTGATATGTAACACTAGAGACAGATAGATTCATTTCATGCATAGAAGACATCTTTGTAAATCTGATAATTTATAATATATAATTTATATAAAATTATGACACTATCCTTGACCAGTGTCCAAGTCCTAAACTAAATGGCAACAAAGAAAAAATAAACAACCGTTCTAGGTTACTACTTCAGAACTTATCTTTCAGTAAGTGATAGAGTAAGGAGAGCACCAGCAAGCACATAACAGACATAAGCAAATCTACCAATTTACTGACACTTCCTGGCCTTCTGCCCAGCAAGGGCAGAATGCTTCCTTTTCAAGTGTGCACAGAAAACGCACTATATGAGCTCATATCTGAGCTGTGAAGCAATGATCAATAAAATTTGAAGCATAAACATCACAAAGGTAAAGGTCACTAAGTTCAACAAGATATCATTGAAAATCAATAACAGATATTTGACAATTTGGGGTTTGTTTGTTTTTTTTTTTTGTTGTTTTTTTTTTGTTTTTCTCCGGTACCAGGAACCGAACTCACAACCCTGCGCTTGCCAGGCAGGTGCTTTTGCTGCTGAGCTAAATCCCCACCCAACAGTTTGTAAGTATTGGGAAATTAAAAGTAATCTGAGTCTAACAAGAACACAGGAGATTTAAGAAAATAATTTGAACTGTATGATGTAAAACACTAGATTAAAACATGTGCCATGCATCTAACACTATTGATTTGCTCTTAAAATTTATTTATCTAATAAAAATAGAATCTTCTATCTTATGAAGTTAAAAAAATGGAAGAATGAAGCAATAAAAAATAACTAATAAGTAGATATGGACAGCAATAGAAATAATAAAAACAAAGCTAAGTGGAAGGTATTATGGTAATAAATCCAATAATTTAAATAAAACCAACACATTACTTGAAACACCAAACTCCCTTAAAGTTCAGTGAAGAACAAATAGATAAATTAAACAACTTTTATTTCTACTAAAGAAATTGAATTCTTATTTAAATATCTCCCCATAAGGAAAATTGTGGGGCCAGAGGAACTCTGTTAAATTCTGTCAAATATTTAATGGGGAAGTAACACTAATAATGCAGAGACATTTTTTCAGAAAAATAGAAAAAGAGCATTACAACACATTTTAGGAGGCTAAATCCTGACAATACCAAAGCAAGCAAAAACTTCAAAGATACATAAAACTATAAAACTGTAAGCAACATATAAACAGAAATGTGAAAAACATCCACCAAAGATTAACAAATTGAATCAGCAACACACACACACACACACACACACACACACACACACAGAATATTCCACAACTTTTGGTCTCATTAATATACCTGTGATAAATTTTCTAGACTTTCAAAGCAATCTTTAGAAAATGAAGTGAAAACACAAAAATGTCTTTTTATTCAATGCTAGCACCCACTTTAAATGGGAATGCACAGGGCTTGTCGCTATATAGAACTGGGATATAAAGTGCCATAGATCAGCTCTGATCACCATAAAATCTTTATGCTTTCCTTGAATAATAGATAAGATGTAAAATAAAATAAATATGTAACTACATAAAGAGTAGACCAAAATGAGAAAAGACAGCTTATTTCTCAATGTTCCACACTATGCTCAAATCTGCCTTTCCTTCCAAAGTAAAATATTAGGGAGAAAGGACTCAAAGGTGTGTACACAGCTAATCCATCAGGTCTCACAATCTGAGCCTTTTGAAGAGAAATCAGTAGAACTGGGAAAATATTAATGATAAAATACTAAAATTGCAATCACCAGCTATCCCACTATAACTGCAAAAGGTGATATTTAAGGATGCTTTCTTTGGCCTTTTTTATTCCCAGCTATGTCATGCTTTATTTCTAGCTCAAGTTCAAAAGATGAATGAATTTTACAGAGGTCTTCCTCTCCAAAGACTTTTCTTCTCATGTGGAAGTTCTCATATTCACATATTCTTAAGCTCAGCAAGGTATTCATGAATAAAGTGATTTGGAATACAAACAAACAGGTGATTAAAGTCTTGCAACTGCACCCTTAGAAATTCCAGACCCTGAAATTTATGAGTCATAAGAAAACTATTGTTGCCAGAAACCTTGAACTGGTTTGTAGTATAAGAAGGGATGATTGCAACATGGTTTTGTGCATGAAAGCAGGGAGCTGCAGTAACCAAATCTAAAATGTGTGTCCTTATATGAGATGGTGGTAGAAGAAAAGGACCTGGTTTTCATGAACTTGACAATCTAGCCACAGACATTTCCAGACATAATGATGAAGGTGCCGTGACCTGGTTTCTTCCAGTTGTTCTTACATAATATAACGAATAGAATTCAACTGAAAAATAAACTTTTCAATTCTGAATTAACACTTGGAAGAAACACAAAGGCTCTAGTCAAGTTTTTAATTCCAGTGAAACCATGTCAAAAAGTAGATGGCCTTAGACCACTGATCTCTACCTAGCATTGCTGACATTTTGGGATGGATAATCGCTACCAGTGGGGGTCCTTGTGTACTGCAGTATGCTGAGCAGGATCTCTGGTTTCTACCCACTAGGTGTCAATATCACCTTCCCATCTATGAAAAACAGAAAATCCTCTGGACAATGACAACAGCCACCCATCTCCATTGAAAACCACTGTCTTAGAGAAAAGTTAAGCCCAAGACACTTCCAGTTAAACATGGCCTTAGGGAATCTGAGTTCCTCTTTAAGGTACTTTGTTAGGATCTGATGAATATGAAAGGCAACTCCTAACACAGGGCCTCAAAGACAGAAATGCGTCTAAAAAGCTTAAGCCTGTATTTTTTTTTTCCTTCAGGGGATAAACCATGCTACTTACTAGATTCTCAAGAGGACTATACCATGTAGCTGCTTCCTAGAGAGCCTAAAATAGACAAGGACATACTTCACAGATATTCCTGGCTGAGGCTTTTGTCTAATGAAGTAGATCATAAATAAATGTGTTTTGAAAACATGCAAAATTTAAAAATATTTCTACCAACTAAATTAAAAGTATAAAACCAAAATAAGGCCTTTGGGCCCACATATTTCCAACAGTAGCAAGCAAATTAAGCAACTAATCAATTCTAAATATGGAAATTAAAAGGCTATATAACTAACAGACAAATAATTAGATAAGTCAAAAGACCAAAGGACAGAGACAAGAGCCACTAAAATCTTTTCAAAGAATATGACTAAGCCCCAGTCAGCCCACTGGTAATAATATGT